GAATATAAGTGTGGTGAAGCCAAATAAATGATAGATCGGCCTGCCATACAATGAGCTTCTGACCCGCTGCTGCTGCTGTGCTATCATCTTTCATCATCATCTTCATCAGAGCAGAAGCCGACATTAGGAAGCTGGATTTATGACTGAACGAACGTCCACATATGTTTTTCATCTCTGTGGGTAACAATACATGAAAAAACATTTTTTTTCCTCCAAAAACACGGGTGTGAAAAAAGCTACGGTTGTTAAACCTTCTCTCTGCTCGACGTGCAGCAGGAAGGAGGGAGGAAGTGATCCTGCGACACGACGCCAAGATGTAACTTTTCTACAGCGGGAGGGGGACATTTTGACGATTTATTCTCTCTTTACGTGTTTTAAAATGCCAAATTTCTTCATTTATTTTCAGAATATTTTGAATAAATGGCCCTATAAAAAAAAAACTTGTTTACCTGCCCAGTCGATGATGAGTCAATGGGTTTTACCTGTCCCGGGCAGTCGGGCAATAGGTTTTGTCGAACCCTGCGTTTATTTCTGGGAAAGTGAGTGGTAATAATTAGAGGAAGATACACATCATGATGTATTAACTGGTCAGCTGGATAGTTTATTAGTTGATCAATGTTGATTTTATATATAACCTGACCCTAATTGATTTATTTATTGGGTTATAGCAGCTTCTAGCATGTGACATTTTCAATTTGCTTCCCATTCAACAAATGTAAATTAAAACTTTTTGTAAATCTTTTTATTGTATTTTATACTTAGAATCTTATCTTGAATTAATGTGACAATGGTWTCTGTTCAGGAGGCTCAGTGACACGCCGGGTTCAGGCGGCAGCACCAAGAAAGATGGCCTGCCCCCATCTTTGACCCGCGGCGCCGGACAGAGAGCCTCCTCTCAGCCCACTCCAGAAGTGGACCCCCAGACCATCCTCAAAGCTCTGTTCAAGTCCACTGTGCAGTCCACCTCCACCACCGAGACCCCCAGCTCACAGACCACGGCTTTCCGCATCAAAATATAGCTAAACCGAATACAGTTGTTTTGTTTTAACGGCATTAAAAGTGTTCATCTAAAAAACAAACAAACGGGGCTTTTCCTGTTGCATGGCAGGCAGCCCTTACTCTCTCATGACAGTTTATTTTTTACACATTTCATCAACTTGGAATAGGAACAAGTAGGGATAAGTAACAGCTTTGTTTTCGGTTTCATGTTATCCAATGTTTATCTCTGTAAAGGACCAGCTGAAGTGTTGTGAGTTTTAAATCAGTGTAGTGGAGGGTAGGAAGGTTCAGTTTTTCTTTTTGTTTTGACATTGCAGTTATCTGTACTTCTCAAAAAAATGGGGAAAAAGTGACAGAATGATTGAAAACAACCCTGTCATTAAGACATTTAAAGCCTTACAGCCACAATGTTCAGTGATGTTATCAAAACCTCTYTTCTACATAGGTTTGATGAGGGAGGTTTTATTTTCGCAGTTAATTCTCCATTTGTAATTTAACCTAAGTGTTTCGTTTGCAGATGTATTGATGTGTTTTACAAGTGCAGAAAGAAACTACGAGACCATGTCGTTTTGGTTTCCCAGTCCTTGTAGAATCCAGTCATGTTACTGGGTTTAACTGCTTGTTTAGTTTTTGGGGCAGAAAATGTATTCATTACACTCGGTTTATGTTAAAACGACTGTAAACTGCTTTAAGTTACGTACTTGGTTTGTTAAACTGAGTCAGATCTGTCTYTCAGTTGTCACTATTAAAATATTTAGCTTTTCAGAAGTGAGAGGCTTGTTTTTGCTGCACAATAGCATCCATTTTCAGTACAAACAATTTCACAAAATAAGGACTTTTTAAATTGGTTACATTTGTTTTGAGTGCCAACTAAGGTTTTATTTTTTATTTTTTTTGAATGAATGAATGAATGATTTATTAGGGTCAGTGTGCAGTTAAAACATAATTGGATGCATTGCACCAGATTTAGCCCAAGGCTAATTTTCATCTGTAGTCCCATAGTTTAAAAAAAAAACATCCAACAGTAAAATAGAAATAGGAGAGGAAAAAAACAAAAATAATATAAAATAAAACATTTTGTAATTAAAAAATATATTTTTCCTCACTTGAGTATATTTAACATGGCTGCAAATAAATGACTGCTATGAATGCATTCTTACAGTAGCGTACATGAAATCAATTTTTATTAAAAACCTAAAAAAATTGAAWTAACTTTGCTTCTGTCAACAAACTGTCACCTTAAATTGTAAAGCACCAATTTTACAAGTCATGTTTGTCATTCATAATAAAAAACAATGGTAATTAGTAAAAGTTAAGGAAACCAGGAGGTTGTGTTGAATATATGTTTGAGAACAAAAGAAAAAAACATCTAAAAAAAATGTACTGAACAAAATAATTCAGTAGAAATGTGAAATACAAGCAGTCTAAAATATACTTTTGTTTTATCTATTTGCATATTTCTATATATTTGTGCTAATTGATTACTCCAATTTTCAAAATWTGATTTTTTTTATTTCATTTACATAATTTAACAGCTCTAACAGAATCACTTGGTTATTTGACATTAGTTCTCTGGAGGCTTTTTGAACATAAGTTGTCCTCGAAAACTCTGTAGATAAGTTATATAAAATTATAAAACTATCATTTTAAGCAACGTCCATAGAGAAGAAACTGACTTTTTGTTTATTTTTGTCAATGAGGTATATTTACAGGTAGGTACATTTTATATATAATTGATTTTTGTGTTTTATTATGTTAAACTGAGAAACGTAACCAAAGCGCTTCCGGTTCCGGTTCAASGAAAAGGTCAAACCAAGATGGCGCCGCCCGAAAAAAAACATGCTCGTAACCAGGCTTGTGTTATTCCTGGAGGATTTACTGGTATTAGTCATATAAGCTAAGACTTAAACAAATACAGTAATGTTTGGAAATTTATTGTGTAACTTAAAAAACAAAACTAATTTGTTGAACTCAAGTACTGACGTTTCGACGTTTTTTTTTCTCCTCCTCCTGTCTTCTCTTCGTAGTTCTCTCCTTACAGTTCAGCTCCGACTGTCCTGCACGGCACTCCGTGTTCGTGAAGGAGCACAAAGTCCGAAACGACAAGAGTTCGGGCAGACCAATGGACCGGACCTTATTTGTGCTCAACATCCCTCCATATTGCTCCCAGGTGAGCGGTTCGTCAAGGTTGTCCTCAGCTCTCAGGGAACAGCTGGCTGCTTATCGGTCACTCGTGTTTTTGTTGTCTTTTCAGGCGGTTGTGAAAGATTTGTTCTCCCAGTTCGGCAGCATTAGGTCTGTAGAGCTGAGAGACCACCCGGGTTCTTCTGAGGAGTCTGAACCTAATTTGTCCAGGTTCTTCAGACCAGCTGAGAAACKGGTTGGCTTTCATTTGACTTTTTTTTTTTAAATATCTTCTTTTCTGTATACAGCATCACACATTTGACTGAGTCTGTTCTGTTTGTTTCAGGGTTTCAAAGTGGGCTACATTGTGTTTGACAGCCCGTCTAGTTTAGCAGCAGCCAAGTCCCATTCTCAGGATGATCCTCTGGTGGTCTGCACAGAGCTGCGCCCGGTGAAGACAGGAGTTCAGAGTGAGTGGATTTCCTGAAAGGAATACCAGCTACCTGTTGATTTGATCTGAAGGGTTAGGCAAAGATCTCACCGCTGATTTATACTCTGCCAGATGTGAGATCTGTTCTTGYTTACGTGGTTGTGAGATTTTCTCTTTTCACATCAACATCAACATCTTACACTCAAAAACTGCATCGCAGAACTCATGGTAAGCACGGCACTGCAGCAGATGTCATGTATGAGCAAAAACAACTGTTTGTTTTCAGTAGATAATGGAGGAAGAGAACATGTTTAAAAGGAGGTGGAGAAAAATCGTCTTTATTTTTGTTCTTAACTGAAAAGAAGCAGCAGCACTAATTTTTAAAATTGGTCATGAAGAGACGGCCACTGTCTGACAGATGGTGCACCATAACGAGCAAACGTAGGGAACATATCTCCACGCGGTTTCCTCCATGCGCAGAAATTGTTTTCTTTGACTAAGTTTTGCATAAACAGTTGTAAAGGTGGCTGTATTTTCTAACAGCCTTAAGGGCTCGACACACGGGGAGCGACAAACTACAGCGATTAACGGCTGTCATCGCAGCCAGGGTGAAACCCGACACACGGGACGCAATAGCGATCGTAGCGTTGCGAATCGTGCTCTTTCAGGTCGCTTGTCTTCACAAAATTTGATTGGTTCTTGACTCTGAAGGCGGGTGTGCATTACGGACGTGTAAACTAAACAAATCTTGCGATGCTAATGATATTGAAAAACAAACACACATCAAGATACAGTTTTATGAGGAAAAACTTACCATAAACTTCACCCTGGTGCCAATAAATTCCTACAAAGCTTTTTAATAATCACTTGGTGAAAGTGTTAGCTAACGGCAGTGTGTAGCATACTCTCCTCTCATTGGTCAGTCAATGAAACCTTCGCTGATTGGTTGTACGCTAAGCGACAGCGGCAAAAGTTGAACATTTTTCAACTTTCATATGTCGCGTCGCAAGCTCGCGTGTGCACGTCTACKTGTACGAGCGCGAAATTTCACATGCACTATTTTCGCCGGTCGCTTAGCTGGGGGAGGGCAAGCGATTGTCGCCTCAYCGCACAGGCTCCATAGGAAATGAATGGAGAGCRAGCGACGTCGCCTCCCGTGTGTCGAGYCCTTTAGCCATCTGCACCTCAACAGAGCTGTTAGGGTGGAATGAGAATAACTAACACACAAYATATTGATACAAAACAATATATTGATAATCTTGTGTGCACATACCCCTGTAAAAAGAAAACAAAAGTTCTGCCAGGAGCATGTGCACAGAGAGAATACTCTGAGCTCATTCAAGAACAAACACCGGACTATGTTAATAGGAACCAAGTTTTTAATGTCTCCGAGTATAAAGTCAGGCTTACTTCAAGTCGCGCGCAGTTGAGTGACAAAAAATTGTATAACTTCTGTTTGAAATGTCGAGAACTCTGTTTTGCAGAGCTTGCAGCTCACAGCCTGTGATTGGTCAAAAATTGGTGRGTGTGTTCATGTGAAGTGGTGCAGCACCCCTGGTCTGATCTTGTAATGAGCATGTGAATGTGGAACTGACTTTCATGTTTTCTTTCCATCTCGGCGRATAAGAAGAATACTTCCTCAGATTCCTCACCCGACACAACAGTGATACATTGTTGATAAAAACAACTATCCTGCTCTTTATGTKGACTATGTTCATAAGCTGCAATACCTTACAGTAAACAAACTGGTTGGATACATAAACTAATGGAGGCAGAGAACTGGCAGCACAAGCCTCTTGTTGTGAATTAGTTGCAAAGTTTTTGATAATTTTGTGATAATCTTTACAAATAAAGAATTCACAGGGGCATCATGCCATGGCACACTTTTACATTTTATCATAATTAGTTATAAACAACCATAACTCTCACCCATAAAAATACCTGTTCAAAGCAGCACAATGACACCCTGATATCAGACACAATATCATGGTCTAGCTGTCCATTTTGGTCTTTTCAAGTGGCTCTTCATACTTTTGGCCACAAGATGGCGCCAAAGAAGACCGTGTTGAAAAACTTAAATCTTTCTAATAGTTTCACATTATATTAGAGGCAGTCTGAGAACAAGTCATATGTTACAAACATGTTTTATCTCCTCTTGGCAGAATGGATCCAACAGTACACAGAGTCTTTCATCCACACCAACAAACTCCAACAAGTAGTCGACTCGTTCATGCAAGACTACGACAAGCGTAAAGAAGAGGTGAGAGCGTTTGTTTCTTCGATGAGTCAGCCGCTCATCAGCGTTCACCTGACTTCTACCTGCTTTTCTTCTCTTAATGTCTGCAGGAAGCAGAGCGGCAGAAAGAGGAGGCAGAGAAACAACAAGAGGATGAGGAGGGCTGGGTCAAAGTCACCAAAGGGCACAAAGGTGCTAAGGCCCGCCCCCACACTGAGGCGGCCAATCAGAGGACTCTGCAGAAGGAAAAGAGAAAGAAGATGAGGAAGGAGCTTCTGAACTTCTACACCTGGCAGCACAGGAACACGCAGAAAGAACGTAAGCTACTCCCTTTATCGCTAGACATTTATCTCAAACAGGACATGAGTCTGAGAAAGTTTTCTTATTTTTCAGATATTGCTGAACTGAGAAAGAAGTTTGAAGAAGATAAACAGAGAATAGCTCTAATGAGAGCTCAAAGAAAGTTCAAACCTTACTGAATCAACTTTTTTTTTCCAATTAAACTTTTCTGCTTTTCAATTCTATTATACACTTGAGCCTTTTTTTGTAAATAAACTATTATACTGAATGAAGTGTTTAAGAATATCAGTAAAAGTCAGCATGTATGGTATAGAGAGCCGTTTCATTCAAAAATTTTAAAGTAACCTAATAAAAAAAACTGTTCTACTTTTAACAAATCTTCAAAAGTACCCAAAGCTTTAACAATTTCTATCAGATACAGTCATTATGAAATGTGAAAACAGAATTATAATATTAAAAAAATCACCTTTGGTACCTGTAGACATTTTAGCACATTTGTCCATTGCAGGAAAAACTTCCACAAAAGTTGCCTAGCATCTCTTTGTCAAGGAGGTTTTAGCTCATGTGAAACACAAGTCTAAGAGTTAAATACAGGTTTTAAACTGGCCTGCTTGTAAGGTTAGGCCTGTTGTCTCATGAAAAACATTTTACTGTAAACTTGAAATCTTGAGATTATGTACAAGTATATAAATAATGACCACTTGATACTTTATCATAACCCAGATTATTAAAAAATTAGTGAAGAATCACTTCTTTGTCTTGGARTTGTACCACAAAGTATTTTTGTATATTTTACAATCGGACAATGATTTACTTATCACCTGTCAAAAGGTGGGGCTATAATGATTTTTCATGTATGTGTGTTTACTGTTAGCAAATATTCAGGGACTAATACATCTACAACAGATTAACATTTGGAGATAATTTGATTTAAGATAGTAGCCACAGCTAATCAAATCTTTGCAAACACAAACATGGCTATAACTCAGTCAGTTGTACAAATAGTTTAACATTTGGTGTGATCTAACTTRCATTCAGAGCTGCTAACTGATCATGTAAAACCTCTAATATAAGTATCAGAAAAAGATATTCCATTAATGACTGAACAGATTTTAATGAAACTTTAGAAAATAATCATTGGACATAAATCTACAACTGATCAACTTTTGGATCCAACCTAATTAAAGATGGCCACTACATCAACTGGAAGCACAAAAATAGCTATAAGTCAGTATTACAGAACCAGAGCTACAACATGGTGCGTTATTAGTTTTAGGCTTTAATAAATGATCTAACCAAGGCTTTCATACAATAATGGTCTGTACAAACAAAGCTTTATGATGAATTGATTTTAATTAATTCGCCACTTCACTTTGAACTTGTGCATCGGACACTTGCTGCTCTTCTGTCCTTCGACACCTCCTGATGCCCGATGGTAAAAGGAGCAGCAGGACGAACATCAGGACAGCCCCGACTCCAGAGAAAACATACAACATCACCTGAAACACTGGGGAGACGGCAGATATCAGCTGAAGTRTTGCAAGAAGTCAAACACCATGGCTTGTTTAGCAGTGTTTACTTGTTTTCTGTTCCTCGGATGAACGATCAGCCAGTTCAGTCTTATTTTGGACCAGTCTAAGTGGTCCTAAGGAGACCAGTTGGAGGTGGTGGGAYGCAGAAGGAAGRACCTCTCTTCTCTGTCTCTCGTCTTCTGTTGCTGTTGAGACAAATTARAGACACTAGAATTTCATAGTTCAAGGTGCTGTGAAATTAGTTTTAATGATTCATTTGARTTCACCCCCAGAGTTCAATGATACTCAAACATCTCAGATGATTTTTTTTWATGTAAGAATGGACTGCACAGGTTTAAAATTGTGGATTTTCCATCTACATACACCCCCACTAATATTTGGTAAATTGCACCTCAGCCACAGGCTTTTTGTTTCCACCAACAAGCTTCCTACATATTTCTGGCTGGAAGGAGGGGTCCACTTGTTTCTCATCACTGATGCACAAATAGTCCATTTTCCTGAAGTCAGGACTTTAGCAGGCCAATCCAGAAGCTTAATGTTAGCCTGTTTATACATTTAGAAACCAAATCTAATGTGCGTTTGAGGTTCTTGTCCTGTTCAAACACCCAAACGTGTCTCAAGTTTCAACCTGTTGATTTGAGGTGATATTGAAGAGTTTGGAGGTTGTCCTCCTGCTTCATTATTCCACCCACTTTATGTGAAGCACCAGCATTAAAATATGATGATACCACTATAATAGTTTGTATACAAGTCTTCGATTTGAAATCCTCAAGTGATTCCTTCATCTAGCCATTGTTGCCAAGCAGCTCAACCTTCGTCTTGTCTGAAGGGAGAAAATTGTTCAAACCAACGATTGTCAAAAACTACCAGCTGCAGTCAATCCCAATCACTAACAAGATGTTAAAAGGACCATGTCAAGTTAAAAACTCTTCAGCACCATGTAAAGTTTTGACCCTGCAGAGTTTCTTAAAAAGATACTGATGTTACCTGTCGTAATTAATCCGCCATGGAAAACAAAATTCAAATTAGTGCTGCGCGGTGTATGCAGTAGAAACGGTATGAAGTTGGCCTACGGTAGAAACTCACCCTCTACCGTCCTATCGTCATTACGTCATCGCTGTGTCAGCATGGCTGCGAGTGCAGAGACAACTGAGCAGGAGTTTGAAATATAATTAAGAAATTCTAGCATTTTAAAACGCATAGAGAAAATAAATCCTCAAAATTTCCTCCTCCCGGTGCAGAAAACTTACGTCGTGTCACAGGATCATAATCTCTCCCCTCCCGCACGTAACTACCATAGTTTTTCACACCCAATTGTCAGAGAAAAAAATGTTTATGTATTGTTACCCACGGATTATTTAAAAAAAAAAAAAAAAGATGTGGACGTTCGTTCAGTCATAAATCCATCTTGCTAATGTAAAGTCAGCTTCTGCTCTGATGATGATGTGCGCGCAGCAGAGCAGCTGCTGCTAGGTTCAGTAGCCTCATTGTATGGCAGGCAGATATTAAAGCAAAAATGCTCAGTTCAGTTAAGATTACAGTTGTCTGCAGAAAAAAAACTGCTCTAAAAATTACATTATCTTTACTTTTTATGTTAATTTTCTACCGCGATATATACAGTTACCGTGAAAGGGCTCAATTTATACAGTGATATGAATTTGAGGTCATACCGCCCAGCCCTAATTCAAATCATTAAAAAATAAATATGCGACATTAATGCCAAAACCTCAAATATACTCACATATAATGGTGCAGCTCTGTGCACAGTCAATATCATTCATGCAGATTTCCACCCAGCAGTAAAAATACATCTAAGAGAGAAATGACACATAACCACGACTGTACAACCAACCATGTCTGCAACCCTGATTTTGTAGTTAGTGATTTGATAATCTTACTTCTTCCATGCTCGGATCACCTGTTTCTGGGTCCAAAAAGGCAAATGTCTTCACATCGAACCTCCTGAACTGAGAGTGGGTGGTGGTGTTCCCCTGGCTGCTCATTGGAACAGAGCTTTTCATGTTATCTTGAGGATTGGGACATCTGCCCAGGAATAAACAACAAGATTGTGTCTCGCATCCTAGCATCTCTGTGTCAGCTCGTTACAAAAGTAGCTTTTACCCATCGTGGAGAAGCGTCCACACTGAGTGCTTAGACATGGGGTAGGCAAAGCAGTCTCGTACACGCAGGGAAAGGCTGGGATCTGGGGAGGGCTCTGCAATAGAAACTTCCACGTTCACAGTTTCACGCAGAGGTAGGATCAGGGGCAGCTTGTCCTCGGGAATAAAAGACGAAAATGAGTCATCTAAAGAAAGAAAGCAAAAAAGATGATATATACGAAACAGAACTCAAGTAAGCAGAAAAAGAAATTCATTATACCTGTGGCTATTCTCATCTGCACCTTCATTGTTCCCTGAGCAACCACAGATGGAGGATTGGTGACTGTGTACAGTGACCTCAAGGATTTTGCGAGCTTAAGATCAGATTCCTCGTATTCACACTGAACCTGGAGACTAAAAACACACAATGAATACATGTAGTGTTCCAACATGCACGCACCAACAAGACCCAAACTAACCTACAAACTCCAGCTCTGTTACCTTTGTCAATGAGGAAGAGCAGTAAATGTTAGCACTTATGCTAACCTTGCTTTTTCTCTGCCAGTTTTTATCCACAACTGGTAAAAATAATATTCAAGAGACAGAGTAGCTATGGGGGTAGGTACTTATTATTCTTCAAACATATGATCGTCGGTGTTACACAAAAGACAACTCAGTACACATATGCTCACAAACTCATTATTGGAGGTTAAAACATGTAAGGCATTTACAAAATCTGCCTTTAGTCTTCTATCGATGTTTTTAAACCATGCATTTGGACATGCATCACCTCTGGCATCCTTACTTCTCCTGCCTTGATTCAATGCCTGTCCAAGAGTGAACCATTTACTGTTAGCCAAAGGTGAAAAAAGTACTTGAAAAAAATAACTGAAGTAAAAATATCTTTAAAGAAAATTACTTTGGTTAAAACGAATTTCACTGATAAGAAAAGTAATAAAAAATGTAATAAAAGCTCACAATAAATCAGGAATGAAACTTGCACACCAAGAAAAATAAAGTCAACTGGTTCCATTAAACTGAGTTGAGAAGAAGTATTGCGTAATTCATTATTCATTTCACATTTTAAAACACAAAAGGGTGACCTTGTAATATCTTATTAGTGGATTTAAATGTGCAAACATGCCTGAATGGTGAATGTCTGTTTTTAGTCTCCGTGCTCTGCTCTTCCACTTCTACCTCATAGGTCACCAGGTCTCCATCAGTCTAAAAATCAAGCGAATAATTCAGCTTTTCATACTTTAAAAATCAGGCTTTGACACAGAGGGTGCCACGTGCTGCTTTACCTTCATCTTTGCCCCACAGTCCATGACTCCTATTTTGAAGACAGCTGTGTCTGAGGTTGAGGCTGCAGGGAAACAGTCAGGCTGATCTTTGATGAGAAGGCTGCGAGGATCGATGGGTGGGTGTGTGTCTGTCGCCTTCACAGTGAACACAAAATGTCCATCCAGAGAGCAGGCTGAAGCAAGTCACAACACAAGAGAACAAAAGGTTTGTTGTAGAGACAATATCTACGCACCCATGCAACATTAGGTTCGTCTTACCATTGAGTCTATAATAGCAGGTTGAAGCATGAGGGTCGTAGCAGCAGCCCAGCTTGTTGCAGGTGTCACTGGAAATGCTATGGTGGCCACACTCTATCCGCAGAGATTTGTCAGCATCACAGTCTCCAGGGAATGCTGCGGGTTCGCATCCGAACACAGAAACATTTGTTTAGACCCCTTTTGACAACACAAAAGCTCAAAATAAAACAATTTAAAGAAAGGTGCAACTCACGTGTTGGCTTACTCTTCTGATTGCTTCTTTTAATCAGAGGACAGCTGATGTTTACTCTGAACCACCGGTCCTCTCCGGTGGTCAGTTGAACCAGCAAAGGGATGACCACTCTGCTGCCCTGATGGAAAATGTGGACAGGGAAAAGTCACAAGCTCAGATTTTGCATTTGATGAAGTCTGTTTTACACACCAATAAAAGCCATACAGGCTGTATGCAACCAGTTTGGTTTAGTGCATTTGAAAAACATTCATTGCCCAAAATAGACCCGACAGATCTCACGACTTTTTAATGCTCAGGGTATATAATGGTGTCAGCATCTGGATAACTGACTGGGCTATATTCACTTTTGCGTTTGCTAACATTGATTAGCTGTGACAGACATCTAGAATCAGGCTGATTTCCATTTTAAATAGGTCAATGTACAGGTACTGGTCATAAAATTAGGATATCATGAAAACTTTTATTTTAGTAGTTCCAATCAAAAAGGTGAAACATTTATTTATTTAATGTTTATTTCTTTTAATTTTGATGATTATAACTGACAACTCATAAAAACCCCAAGTTCAGTATCTCAGAAAATTTGAATGATGTGAAAAGGTTCAATATTAAATCACCCCTGGTGCCAAACTCTCAATCAGCTAATGAACTCAAAACACCTGCAAAGACCTTTAAATGGCCTCCAAGTCTAGTTCTCTAGGACAGTGGTTCCCAACCTTTTTAGACTTGTGTACCCTGTGAGCCATTTTGTCATAACACTAGTACCCCTTCAATCAAAAGTAATGATGATTCTCCAAAAACTATAATGTTCTACAACTGATTATGAAATGAAAATTTATTTGACCCCCTAAAAACGTTTAATTCTCAGGACCTTGGACAATGTGAAGGGCTGAAGGAACTGTCCAAGGTCCTGAAAGTGCCGGAATGGTTCAGGATTTTAGACCAGTGGTTCTCAACCTTTTTAGACTTGTGTACCCTCTGAGGGTTTTGTTATACCACTAGTACCCCTTCAGTCATATGTAATGATGATTCTCCAAAACTATAATGTACAACAGCTGTTTCATAATCATTTATTTTGACAATTATTTATTTAAACACCTAATTCTAATGCATTTTATTTTTTCAACTCAAATGAAAGATAAAAATGTTGCCTTGAAATTGAATTAAATAAATAAACCAGCTAAGGCAGGTGCAGAAAACAGCAACATCCAAAATACGTCAGAAACTCAACCAAATTAGCAAAGTCCATGAGATTCCACGTTTTACACTGGATTCCATTTTGTGCTAATTCCGTGATTCAGACTGCAATTTCTGCATGCTGGAAATAACAGGGCCCTACATATCTTAGTCCTATTTTTATTTTTTACACACCTGGGAAATTTTTCCACATACCCCCTGTAATATGCTCATGTACCCCAAGGGATACACGTACCCGTGGTTGGGAAATCATTGCTGTAGGTTACACAATCATGGGGAAGACTGCTGACTTAACGGTTGTCCAAAAGATGACCATTGACACCTTGCACAATAAAGGCAAGACACAAAAGGTCATCGCTAAAGAGGCTGGCTGTTCACAGAGCTCTGTGTACAAGCATATTAATAAGAGAGGCGAAGGGAAGGAAAAGATGTGGTAGAAACAAGTGAACAAACAATAGAGATAACTAAACCCTGCAGGATTGTGAAACAAAGCCCATTCAAAAATGTGGGGGAGATTCACAAAGAGTGGACTGCAGCTGGAGTGAGTGCTTCAAGAACCACCACACACAGACGTATGAAGACATGGGTTTCAGTTGTCTCATTCTTTGTGTCAAGCCACTCTTGAACAAGAGACAGTATCAGAAGTGTCTCACCTGGGCTAAAGACTGGGGTCAGATTTATAAAGGATTAAGTGGAAATCACACTAAAAGTTATTGTATGGCCAAAAGGCGAAAATGGTGTACGCCAAAAAATAAAAAAAAAATCATATTTATAAAACCATGCGTACGCATGTTTCTGCACACCTTTCATTTATAGATAAGCTGTACCTCAGAGTTTGCGCACAAGTTCCCTCCTCAGATTCTAACCTCCACACGCCCACACTCAACCAAACAGTCAATGCAAAGTACCTCATGAATGTTAAGATGTATTTAAAATCAGTCAGCTGATCAATGTCAAAAAAAAAAGTGATTGGTTCAGACACGCTCCATCATGCGTCTGGAGGATGACAGGTGCTGACTGACAGCTGCTCACATGAACAGATCGTCTGTAATTGATGCAGATTTTCCCTCATTTTGCAGGTTTACAGACGTTTAGAGCAATCTAATGATTTTTATCTAAAACTCAGCTTCAAATTAATTTTCTCAGAGCCTGCAGGATGATAAAAACAATAAAATTAAATAAGTCAGATAAAGTTAGAAATAAGTTCACCACTCTTCTCCCCCGTCCTCCCCCTCCTGCCTGCTGTTATCTGCAGCTGATCGTCTCCTCACCCCCTCACATCTCCACAGCCCTGCGAGTGTGAGAAATACGGACTTTAAAAAGTGAACTTTTTATAACATCCACACTGGTGAGGGGCGCACCCAGCAAGTACCCAAAAGCGTGACTTTTGCTGTCGTTCTGTTGAAATGTCTGTAGTCGGGAGGGGTCTGTGGGTCAGGGTCGACTGAGGAGGAAGGAGATGGATGGAGATGTGTGAACTTTTATTTAAGATTTAAGTTTTTTATTTCAAAAGGTCCTTATGGTTCATAGCAGAAGCATAAACATTACTGTTGAGAAAGCTGATGATAAAGTTGAATAAAGATCATAAAAAGTCTGATYATGAAGTGAAATTAAATATCTGACAGTGATCATTACACAGTCTGGCACYAATTCCTCACTTCACCACCTGTGTCACAGCTTCCTGTCTCCAAAATGAGCGTACGCAYGGGTCAAAGCTGGCTGAGGCACYTCACATTTTCACGTCAAGTTTGGATTTTATAAATAACCTTGGTGTGAAAAGTGGTGTACGCACGTTTCTGGGCTCATTTTGTGCGTACGCAAGTTTTATAAACCCGACCCCTGGACTRCTACTGAGTGGTCCAAACTTATGTTCTCTGATGAAAGTATATTTTGCATTTCCTTTGGAAACCAAGGTCCCAGATTCTGGAGRAAGAGAGGAGAGGCACAGAATCCACRTTGCTTTAGGTCCAGTATAAAGTTTCCACAGTCAGTGATGGTTTGGGGCCATGTCAGCTGCTGGTGTTGGTCCACTGTGTTTTCTGAGGTCCAGGGTCAACGCAGCCGTCTACCAGGAAGTTTTAGAGCACTTCATGCTTCCTGCTGCTGACCAACTTTATGGAGATGCAGATTTCATTTTCCAACAGGACTTGGCACCTGCACAYAGTGCCAAAGCTACCAGTACCTGGACCATGGTATCCCTGTTCTTAATTGACCAGCAAACTTGCCTGAATAGAAAATCAATGGGGTTTTGTGAAGAGGAGGAAGTGATATGCCAGACCCAACAAGTCAGAAGACCTGAAGGCCACTATCAGAGCAACTTGGGTTCTAACACGTAAGCAGTGCCACAGACTGATCGACTCCATGCCACAATGCATTGCTACAGTAATCCAGGCAAAAGGAGCCCCAACTAAGTATTGAGGGCTGTACATGCTCATACTTTTCAATTGGCAAACGTTTCTAAAAATCCTTTGTTTGTATTGATTTTAAGTAATATTCTGATTTTCTGAGACACTGAATTTGGAATTTTCATTAGTTGTCATTTATAAATCAGCAAAATTAAAAGAAATAACATTTGAAATATATCAGTCCATGTGTAAAGAATGAATATAATATACAAGTTTTACTCTTTGAATAGAATTACTGAAATAAAAWCAACTTTTTTCATGATATTCTAATTTTATGACCAGCACCTGTACATCCAGTGATTACGTTCTCAAACTTTTGTTAAAATTCATCCTTTGGTTCATTAGATAATTTGCTAACAGCAGACAAACAAGCACATACAGACTGCCCAGCCTTTAATTTGTGACAAGATAAAATAGGCTACAGGGAATAAAATTCATGATTAGCTTCTTCATGTAAATAAATAATAATGACCTGAAGCCTCGTACCTCTACACGGGTGTAGCAGCCGTCATATTTGCCGAAGAACAAGACRTTTTGGTTTTTCTCTCTGCTCACTCTCATGCCACATGCCTTCTTAGACTTAAGCACAGGGATTTTATGTCCTGACGTGTCTAAATGACAAAAACAATTATATAAAAAAAAAGACAAAACCAAAATTACAATATACACTATTTGCATATTTACAGATCACAAAAAATAAGGAAATTTGTGTTTGGAAGTATATTTTTTTGTTGTAACAATGCTTCTTGGCAATAAATCGTACACAGTTGGAAAGTCTGTTAAAATGGTGCCACATTTATAATTCACATTTGTGGGATGAGCAGAGCTGTGGGTTGTAGGTTGTGCACATGAAAAATTAGCAAAAATCTCTCTGTCAAACTGTTTATTTTGTTGTTTTATTGACATGTTTTGAGCTTCTGACCCTAGGTGCTGCCAATCAGGTGCGCGCTATAAGATTTATTGCCATGAAGCATTGTTACAATAAAGAAATTATCYACAAAACACTAATTTCCGTACTTTTTTGTGCCATTTGCTTTTAACAGGATCACTTGTAACTCATATTTTTATTTTAGGCCAGACTGAGCTCCTCCAAGGGCTGGATTTGGACCTCAGTTAACCTGTTCTAAAACGGTTGAGTTTATTTCAAAGTTGACATCATTTGTACGTTTTTACTGTTTACCTTTACATCACATGTAGAAACAGCATGTCATTAGTTTGATTTTGTATTCTTAACGATTTCTTTTAAAATGTGCCTTTTTTAGAGTGGAATCATTCCACAACATAAGCACAGAAACAGGTTGGAAATATTGTGGGTGGTAGATTGATAGATTTTGTTGTTATTATTATTATATAC